GAAGCTAGAGTGTAAATTCCCAGAGAGCTGGGTAGCACCAAAGGGCTGTAACCTTGGTTGGAGGAGGGTAGACAATGCCTAATAAGGAGGAGTGGAAACTAATGACTAGGTTTAAATGAAAGCTGTTAGGTCATCATCAGTATAAGAATAGGTGCTGAGTATTTTAGAAGTGTTTGGTAGAATTGCATTGGCCATCAGAGGACGAAGTACAGTTTCCTCTTGAAGCTCTTCAATGTCCATCATCTTAAGGTGGAGGATCCTTAAAGACCATTTTCCCCGTCATCTGCATTGAAGCTGAGTTGTTTAAAAGCATCTCGGAAGAATGAGGCACTACCCTACTTAATAAAATAATTACAGGGAAGCAATATCACGGAAGCAAGAGTAATACATGTGAGTGCTTCAGCATGTTGTGGAAAAAATGGAACTAACATAGATAATGCACACTGGGTGGGCGTTTGGCACAGCAGTGTTGGTGCCATTTGGATCAATGCATGCATGCCACATCAGAGTGCCTGGATTCGAGTCCTGGCTCCTCTGCTCTCAATTCCAGCTTCCTGACAATGCACGCCCCGAGAGGCAGCAGGTGATGGCTCAGGTACTTGGATCCCTAACACCCAGGGTAGAAACCCAGATGGACTTCCAGGCCTCTGGCTTCAGCCTAGCCAGTTCTGGCAGTCGTGGGCATCTGGGGAGTTAACCTGCAGAAAGAGAGTCTCTGTCTTTCAAATGAAATAAATTAATAAACAAATGCTAAAGAAGTGCACAAATCCTGTAATCTCTCACGCTTCAACAAAAGCAGGCTCTTCTTACCCTTTCTTCAGAGATGAGAAGTTGCTCTTCATTGTGTGAGAGCCATTCTCACACTTAAAAGGCATTGTCATGTGGCTCTTGCTAAATGCAACAATCCATTTTTCATACAGACTTTTCCGGTTTCACTTCCGAATTCTGACCTTGTGAAGGTTAGTGTGAGGCTCTACCAAATAAGGGAGTACTTTCTACCTGCCAGGACCTCACCTGCTTAAAGCACTTTGACTATTATATCCGTTTTAGGAACCTACAGAGCCCTTCACTGAGGCAGACAGCCGAGGAACTCATAGGACGGGGGAAACCAGCAAAATCTTCAAATTTACCTTCAAAATCTTCTGTAGCACAAGAACCAGTGACATGCTGAAAGCGGATGTCAGGAAACGTGGCACAGACGCTGTCTTGACTGAATTGGCCTTCCAGGCGTCAGGAGTACCTCTCAGGCGTGCATGGGAGATGCTGGCTGGCACCTTCCTAGTCCAGCCTCAGGCCATCAGGTGTGCAGGTGGCTACTCCTGTTTCCTTCCAGTCCTGGTGCACAGTAGCAATGGTTCAGGCACATTTCTTGGGAGTGGCCAGGCTAAATGGAACAACTGTTATCAAATCAGAGGTTTGCCTTGATGGGGAATATTCCGGAAGCTGCTGAGTTCCTCCTTTGCCATGTGTCTAATCCAGATAAATTGCACTAGGGGAATGACGCTGTCTGGCTACTGCTTTTTTCTCCTGTGGGTGAATAACGGTGTTAAAGGTAACATTATAGGGTCTGGCGCTGTGGCGTAGCAGGTTAGGCCTCTCCCATATGGGCACTGGTTCAACATGCAGCTGCTCCACTTATGATCCAGCTGCCTGCTAATGTGCCTGGGGAAGCAGTGGATGACCCAAGTGCTTGGGCCCCTGCACCCACGTGGGAGACCCAGAGGAAGCTCCAGGCTCTTGGCTTCCTTCTGGCCCAGCCCCGACTGTTGCGGCCATTTGGGGAGTAAACTGGTAGACAGTCTCTCTCTCTCTGTAACTCTGCCTTTCAAATAAATAAATAAATAAATAAATAAATAAAAGTAACATGTTAATTTGGTGAATTTCAAAACTAATTAAAGCAATAAAATTATGTCTAAATAGCATATAACTGTATCAAGTTTTAAGACACCAAATACCTGAATAGGAAAAAAACATAATTTTCACTAACTGAACTCACTTCCACTTCTACTTAGACTAACCTGATTCTAAGAAAATACTTTTAAAAAATCATTCAATTAATACACTTGAAAGCTGTCTTTGGTCCAAGTGTGCTGCTAAGGCATTGAGTTTGCGATTTCATATAAGACAAAGTTGACCTTTGTCCACAGAGAGTTTAATTGCAGGAACACAATCTTCTTTGAAAAATGTTTTCTACTGGGACTGCTGCTGGGGTGTAGCTGGTAGAGCTGCTGCCTGCAATGTCGGCACCCCATATGGGTGCTGGTTGCGACTGCTCCACTTCTGATCCAGCGCTCTGCTGTGGCCTGGGAAAGCAGTAGAAGATGGGCCAAGTCCTTGGGCCCCTGCACCCATGTGGGAGACCCAGAAAAATCTCTTGGCTCCTTGCTTCACATTTGCCCAGCTGCGACCATTGTGGCCATTTGGGGAGTGAACCAGCTGATGGAAGACTCTCTGCCTCTGCCTCTCAAATAAATATATAAATCTTTAAAAAAAGGGTTTTTATTTTCATCTACTTGGAAGGCAGAGTGATACACACACACACACACACACACACACGAACACGCGGGAGACGAGAGATCTTCCATCTGCTGGTTCACTCCTCAAATGCCTGAGACAGCCAGGGGTGGGTTGGTGCTGGAGCCCAGGACTCTCTCTGGGTCTCCCATGTGGCAGCCAGGCCCCAAGCACTTGGGCCACTAGGATGCATTAGCAGGAAGCTGGATTGGAAGTAGAGCAGCTGAGACTCAGCACTAGCTCTCCAGTATGGGATGCTAGCTTCGTGGGAGGAACCTTAGCCCATATCGCCTGCCCCTGGAGCACCTCATCCTCCCAGCAGGGGTGGGGGAGCTTTTTTCTATCAAGGGGCATCTGGATATTTGTAACATCATCCATGGACCATACAAAATGGTCAACTTAAAAGTTAGCCATCTATAGATGTATTGAATTTTGAGTTCTGCCTGTGGTTGTCTTGGCAGGCCAGACCAAATGATTTCTCAGGCCTTACATGGCCTGCAGGCCAGACACTCCCAACACCTGAATGGACTGCAAACCTGTTCTGAAATTGCAGTTCTTTCCAGATGAATATAACGCTGGCCAACGTTATGACTGACTCTCATTCCTGGGAGTTTCAGCATAGGAAATGTGTTATAGCCCTTGTAGGAGGCAGAGGAATACAAGTTAGAAATGTACCATGTTGGCCGGCGCCGCGGCTCACTAGGCTAATCCTCTGCCTTGTGGTGCTGGCACACCGGGTTCTAGTCCTGGTTGGGGCGCCGGATTCTGTCCCGGTTGCCCCTCTTCCAGGCCAGCTCTCTGCTGTGGCCAGGGAGTGCAGTGGACGATGGCCCAAGTGCTTGGGCCCTGCACCCCATGGGAGACCAGGAGAAGTACCTGGCTCCTGCCTTTGGATCAGCGCGGTGCGCCGGCTGCGGCGACCATTGGAGGGTGAACCAATGGCAAAAGGAAGAGCTTTCTCTCTGTCTCTCTCTCACACTGTCCACTCTACCTGTAAAAAAAAAAAAAAAAAAAAAAAAAAAAAGAAAGAAATGTACCATGTAAAGGACAGCCTTTTAATCACCTGCTCTTGTTCTTAGAAAAAAAAGTGCATTCTATTCCTTTTTAGCCCTGTGGTAAACAGAAGAAGGGACCTATCTATAGCATGAATCTCATATTTTGTCTCATATATGGACATCCAGCTGATCACCATGATAAATGAGATAAATATTGCTCTACAGATTAATTTTTAAAATATTTATTTGTTTATTTGAAAGAGTTATGGAGAGAGAGGGAGACACACACACATACACACGCACACACACACATATCTTCCATCTGCTGGTTCACCCCAGAGATGGCTGCAATGGCCAGTGTTGAGCCAGACCAAAGCCAGGAGCCAGGAGCTTCATTTGGGTCTCCCATGTGGGTGCCAGGGGCCTAAACACTTGGGCCATCCTCTGCTGCTTTTCTCAGGTCACTGGCAGGGAGCTGGATTGGAAGTAGAGCACCGGGGACATGAATCAGCGTTCATATGGAATGCTGGTGTTGCAGGCAGAAGCTTTACCCACTATGCCGCGATGTCGGCCCCAGCAGATTATTTTAACCTAAAACTAAGAATATAATCAATTTATGTTGAGATGAATTGAGCTTTCAAACATGACTCCAAACTATCCTTGCATCCCAGCAGTGACTCTCACTTGGTCACGGTGGATGATCCTTTTCATGTGCTGCTGAATTTGATAGACCAGTATTTGTTGAGGATTTTTCACCTCTTGATCCATGTGGAAACGTGGGTCAAATAGTGCAAAGTTTCATTTGAACAGGAGGAATGTTTTTAAAGATCTATCGCACAACTGGGTGAAAATAGCTGATAATGTATTGGATTTTTCAAAATTGCTGGGTAGATTTTAAGTGGTCTCGCTACATGTGGCATGATGGACATGTTAATGAACTTCATTTAATAGTTCTGTATAGTGTGCATATATCAAAGCACCACATGGTGCTCTCTGTATATATTACAATCAGAACTTCTCAGCTGAAGATAGAAATAAAAGGATGGGCATTTGGAGGAGCAGTTGAGACTCTGCTTGGGACGCCCACACCACACGTTGGAGTTCCTGGATTGGAGTCCTGGATCTGCCTCTATTTCTAGTTTCCTGCTAATATGCACTCTGGGAGGCAGTGCTGAGTGAGAGCTAAATTGAGTTCCAGGCTCCTGGGTTTGGCCTGGCCCAGTCTCTGCTATTGTGGACATATGGGGAGTGAACCAGTGGATGGAAAATCTCTCTCTGCCTGTCTTTGTTTCTCTGTCTTTTAAATAAAATGAAACAAAACAAAACAAAAATAGCTCCCACAATTCTGAAAATGCTAACATTCCCGAAGTGTCCACATTACCCACTGCATACCTCTCCCTGGTCCATTGCTCTCTTGTGGGAGAAGGAGAGCCTTGCTGCTCCGGTAGGCTTCTCTTCTCTTCTGTTAACTACTTCGTTTCTCCCAACCAGCTTCCTCCGAATCCAGCTGTGCCTCTCAGCAGAGCATAGACTTCAGCGACTTTCTGCTGACTGTGCCTCAAGCTTCCTAGACACGATTTCCATCTGGATTATCTGATTTGGATGGCATCGGGGATATTGTGATTTAGTGGTTACCAGGTATGTTTGGTTGGGAGAGGGGACAATTGCACCCTGCCCACTGGGCTCGGAATGGAGGGCTTCATCCTGGTGACCCCCGCTACCAGCAGAGGTCACACCACCGGGCTGCTCTCTGATCTGCAGGAGAAAGCTCTCTGGTGCTGATTGTTCCCACACACAGCTCCCACGTAGTGCGGGGATTAGAAGAGAGGCAAAGGTAGCCCTGCGTGTATATGATTTTGATTTTTCTTTGTAGTACTTCTCCCCCTGGGTTTTATTGCACCAAGGTCTTTGAACCAATAGAGCTAAGCAGAGACTTGTACAAGGAGGCTGAATCAACCCACAGACACACCCGCCAACATTCCCAAAGCGTCCTCCTCATGCTGGACTCTGCGCAGTGGAAGAAGATGGATGGATGCTCTTGTTCTGGCTTGGTGCTGATGGATATAAAGAATCTGAGTTATGGCCGGCGCCGTGGCTCACTAGGCTAATCCTCCGCCTAGTGGCGCCGGCACACTGGGTTCTAGTCCCGGTCGGGGCACCGGATTCTGTCCCAGTTGCCCCTCTTCCAGGCCAGCTCTCTGCTGTGGCCAGGGAGTGCAGAGGAGGATGGCCCTGGTGCTTGGGCCCTGCACCCCATGGGAGACCAGGAAAAGCACCTGGCTCCTGGCTCCTGCCATCGGATCAGCGCGGTGCGCCGGTGGCAGCGCTCCTGCCGCGGCGGCCATTGGAGGGTGAACCAACGGCAAAGGAAGACCTTTCTCTCTGTCTCTCTCTCTCTCACTGTCCACTCTGCCTGTCAAAAAAAAAAAAAAAAAGAAAAAAAAGAATCTGAGTTATTATTCACATTGCTGAATGAGTACTTGCCTCAGAGATATTCTAAAAGCTGTAATGCCCACCCAGTTCCATCTTAGTGTGGAGCCATGTTACTCTACAAAGTCATTGTACTTACTAAAGGAGAAGAGCCTTTTCCCAAAACCGGGTTCTCCATTTTAGCTGCTTATGTAATCCCAATTTCCCATAAGTGGCTGGACTCTCCTCTTTGGCTTACCTAGTCCCAATCTGTAGTTACCCCGAGGACAGGCTTGTCATTCCTCCTGGGGCCATCTCAAGTGCAGACCTGAAACGGATTCTGCAAAACCCCGAGGAGGAATTGGTGGATGGTCAGACAATGGTCTGATGAGGGCCCAGGTTAGGATGGGGAGAACTTGATTTGGAGAATTGAGTCAAGATGCATGGATCCCTGTGATGTGTTACAAACTTTGGGGAGCAGTAGTTGTTCTTTTTCATATGTTTTTTTTTTTTAATATTTACTTATTTATTTGAAAGTCAGAATTACACAGAGAGAGGAGAGGCTGAGAGAGAGAGAGAGAGAGAGAGAGAGACAGAGAGTCTTCTATCCACTGCTTCACTCCCCAGTTGGCTGCGATGGCCGGAGCTGAGCTAATCTGAAGCTAGGAACCAGGAGCTTCTTCTGGGTCTCCCATGTGGGTGCAGGGGCCCAAAGACTTGGGCCATCTTCTACAGCTTTCCTAGGCCATAGCAGAGAGCTGGATTGGAAGTGGAGCAGCTGGGACTCCAACTGGCGCCCATATGGGATGTGGGCACTGCAGGTGGTAGCTTTACCTGCTACGCCACAGCGCCGGCCCCCTTTCATATGTTTTTTTTTCTTTTAATTTATTTGACAGTTAGAGTTATAGACAGTGAGAGAGAGAGACAGATAAAAAGGTCTTCCTTCCATTTGTTCACTCCCCAAATGGCCGCTCCGGCCGGAACTGCACTGATCCAAAGCCAGGAGCCAGGTGCTTCCTCCCGGTCTCCCATGTGGGCAGGGGCCCAAGCACTTGGGCCATCCTCCACTGCCTTCCCAGGCCACAGCAGAGAGCTGGACTGGAAGAGGAGTGTTAGTGTCGACTGCCCGAAAAACGTCACCAAGAGACATCTCTTATGCAAACAGCAAGGGGAAGCTTTATTGATTATCCAGCATGCTGGGGCTGTCTGATCATACATGAACAGAGCAGCCCCGAATAACCAAAGATTAGGGTTTATAAAGGCAAAAACCGCAAAACCGGGAAGGGGGGAATACATGGTTGCTATGCACGGTTGCTATACACAGTTGCTAAAATCAAAAGAGAGTACATAAAATCAAAAGAGAGTATATGGTTACTGGGGTCAACATAACCTAAAACCTAAGTGGAATTAATATTTATCATAATCTTGACAATACCAGTTACAATATTACAATCAGCAATTAGGACTTGACATTAATGTAAGACACAGACAAATCACATCTTCATTATTAGCCCAGGTAACCCAGGTGCAACCTTTCTACTTTTAAGCTTGAGCAATCATGCTAGGGGGTTTTTGTGCTCTGCCAAGGGTGATGTAGTGCACTGCTATTGTCCGACTATTTGAGATCATAGTTTCAGACCAGAGTCTCACGGTGGGGGGGTGCTTTCCCAGAATGCAGTCTCAAGTGCTCCAAAATGGAGTCCCTACTGCCAAGGTGCTACTCTGTCTTATTTTCACAGCTGCACCAGGAAGGTTTAAACCTGTAAGCTTAAGCTTAACTTTTTACACCCGCACATATACAATTTTAACTCTTCAGGAGCAACCTGGACTAGAACCTGGTGCCCATATGGGATCTGGTGCTGTAGGCGGAGGATTAACCCAGTGAGCCACGGTTCTGGCCCCACCTTTCATATGTTTTAAAAGAGAAGAATGATGGCTAGAAGCAGCAGTGGGGAGCAAGAAGAATGGGCACCTGTCTTCATGGTTCATAAGCAATCAGTGAATGAACAACCTTCACTGGAAAGGCCTTCAAGGAAGGTTATTTTGATACTCATTCATAAATTTTTACTGAGTGTGTCTGGTACATGAATTCCCAGGCCTAGTGCTGCTGAGAGAGCAATGTTTGTATGCAGCTCTGATTGGGAAACGGACATGATGCTCTGTCAAAGTCAGCATCCTTCTGAGCCAGCCGTCAGCCAAGCCAAAAGGGTCAGTCTGGTGGAGGCAGAACTCGATGTTGTTTGAGACTGTTGAGTGAGTCATTTATAATGGTCAGAGGTCTGGGGTGGGGTTGGGGTGGGTGGCAGAGCAGAAACCCTTGGCAGGAAGCCTGCATTGAGGATCTAAGTGACAGGATCCAGAGTCACTCTGTCTCCCTTTCCTTATCTCTGTTACTTCTGCAGCTGCTTCCTGCCTCATTGCTTCACATCCACTTTCTCTACTGCTCAGTTACTCAGCAGAAAACAGCCGTCCTCAAAGCCCCTGGGTCTTTTTAGCTCTTCTGTTCAAGGTATTAGCCCGGAGTGAGAGTGGATGCTTTTGCTCTGATTCCAAATGTCCACCTGCTCTGGCTTGGATGTCATTTGTTGCTCAAAGGTCCATGTGCTGGAAGCTTGGTCCCCAGTGTGGCACTGTTGATAGGTGGTGGAACCACTAAGAGGTGGAGTTTTCAGAGGCATTTTAGGTCATGAGTACACCATCTTAAAGCAAGGATTAATATCCATCTCATGGAAATGAGTTGGCTCTCATGGGACTGGATTCATTATTGCAAGAATGAACTGTTATACAGTAAGGCCCCTTCATGTGCATGACTTGTTTGCATGAGCCTATTTCTCCTTCCACCCCTCTCTTAGGTCGTGTTGTAGGCAGGGAGCATTTTTGCTAAGGTCCCAAAAACTACCAAAATCATAATCCAAACAAACCTCTTTTATAGAATCAGATATTCTATTTATTTTTTATTTATTTATTTTTTGACAGGCAGAGTGGACAGTGAGAGAGAGAGACAGAGAGAAAGGTCTTCCTTTGCTGTTGGTTCACCCTCCAATGGGCACTGCGGCCAGCGCGCTGTGGCTGGCACACCGCGCTGATCCGATGGCAGGAGCCAGGTACTTATCCTGGTCTCCCATGGGGTGCAGGGCCCAAGCACTTGGGCCAGCCTCCACTGCACTCCCTGGCCACAGCAGAGAGCTGGCCTGGAAGAGGGGCAACTGGGACAGAATCCGGCACCCCGACCGGGACTAGAACCCGGTGTGCCGGCGCCGCAAGGCGGAGGATTAGCCTAGTGAGCTGCGGCGCCGGCAGAATCAGATATTCTAATATAACAGCACAAAATGGATGAAGACTCCAACTCTCAGCACAACTTATGTCACCCATAGTCAGAAGCATGGGTCACAGAGTATAAATATGAGGGATCTTCAAATATTTAATGGAAAAATGTGTGTTATGGAAAAATTATGTATGAATTTCAAATAGTATTTGGAGATATTTTAATTCTATTTTTCCATGAACTTTTTGAAGTTTCCTAGTGGATACCTGGGATGCTTAACTTGCCAAAGGAGAAAGATGTCTATAGTGTGGGGAGAAGGTCAGGGTGTGAATCCTCCTGTGTAGAGTTTGTAAGTGGGCAGATGCTCAAGGTAGGGCCTCTGGCACATTGTTGCTATTCCTCTAAAGTCCCCTGCAAATCACTCCCAAGACAGAAGAATGTCAAAATATTCTCTGAGCCAATGAGCCAATGAGAGTAACCTCAATATCAAACAATTTACCCCCTACTCTAATATTAAAAAAAAAAGTCGACATTGATCTTCCTTTGCCTGATCCGGTCAAGTTAATTGGCAGCATGTTTTTATTCATAGAGAAAATTTAGCATATCTTCAATCCAGATGAAAAATTAATATACATCTAAATGACAAAGTAACATTTCATTATGTTCTCTCTACCTGCTAAGCTTGGCGTCTCTGGGATTCTTGTCTTGCTGCATGGGAAGTCATCTTTCTTTCTTAGACATGCTATCCGAGGACTCAAAGGCAGTCTATCAAAGCTCAGGCAGTTGCTAGTGTCCCTGAGTGACTGGGTCTGCATCACTCTCCTCATTTCCTGGTGTTGACGTGAAGATCGGCACTCTTATTGATGATGGCAGGTTTGACCTTTGCTGTCTGATGGATGGAGCCTCCGTCCAGGCTTATGGATGATACTTCCAACAGGATGGGATGCAGCAAAACCCAAAGAAC